CCATGACTTATGTCCTTTATGCCTTGGGTTAGGCCACCTCTGTGAGGTGCTAGTTAACCCATGCATAAACTGTGCAATCATCCCCTTAGCTTGACGCTAAGAGAGGCTAGTGGGCCTTGAAGCAGAGAGTGAAGAGACCGCTGACAGTGCCTCCACGCTCAGCAAGGAAAGCAGCGAAACTCCTCCCCCCTCGGAGCTTAGCCACTGGACTAGCGGTGCAGATGTGCTTTCAGCATGGGCGTCATACACAAACTTTCTGAACGTTTTTTTCTCAGCCAGGGCGCTTTGTGCTTAGCACTCCAGCCCCACCAGAGCTTCTTTCTGCCTTGCCCTCATGACATTCCAATGCCAGCACTCCATCCATTGCAAAGGCGCCTGTTGCTCAGGTTTAAAACGCACTCAAAATTGCACCGGCTAAGCTGCGCCATTGACTAAAGTCTTGAAAACATTCTTAATGCATGCAGCCCCTGTGAATAGCTTCTCTGCTCCAGTTGGGGAGGATTTTGCCAATGAATTTGCGGTGGGGTTTCACTTGGCCTCACAACAGCAACGATCAAGCTTGGCGTAACTGGTGCACACGCCCATGGCACATGCCGCTTCCCATGGCCTTGTTTTAATGTGGATACTGGTGGTGGTGGATATGTGTGTTGCTTCTAAGGTAGTGTCACCAGATGAAGCGCTGTGCCCTGACCCACACTGCCTCAGTGTGGAATATAGATACAAGGATGAGCTCTCTTCCAGCGCAAATAATACAGCTATTAGGATTGTCAGGATTGTTAACTCTCTCTCTCTTTTTCTCTTGGCCCTGCATTCTTCTCTACAAGGCCTTAACACTGATGAAGTGAACAACAAACTCTTAAATGCTGCCCCTCAGTCAGTTGGGTATTTGGCTCAGTGTTATGTCAGAATTTTGTACATATGCTTTCAGGTGCCTTAGTTCTGGGCCATGTCTTTGGCCCAGTGATTAAGGAATGGTGCTCCTCCTTCATAGAGTCATCTAGTCTGGAGGCCCCACAAGTGCCGCATTGCTTTCGCTGCACAGGAACCTCTATTTACCCCTCAGTAAGCACTAATTTCTGGGGGAGTCCCCATTGTATCTAGTGAGATCCAGACGATGCAAATGTGACATTGACGCTGAACCTGACTTTCCTGCTGAAAGTTCTAACATTTTACATTTTTTGAATATTGCATTAGGTGGTGTATTTGTGACATATCGGTGAAACCAATAGCTTAGGAAGAACTACATAATGACATATCACCCACTAATACTGCCTAAAACTGGAAAAGCTTTGCCATAAGCATTTTACTGCTTCTTGTCAACCCACACCGCTGACATGTTAAGTTCCATCTACTGGCACATGTACCTCATGCCAGGGACACAGTGTACTGGAAAAGAAAAACACTGTAATCAAATCACTATCCACCATAACCACTGAGGAGGACTTTAAACCAAATTAGCTGCAGGACTTCTTCAAATAGGTAATGCTACGCAAAGTCATGCAAAGTCATATGTGCCCAGCCTGAACAGTTAGAGGCCTCTCAGAAATGACTGATGAATTATTCCTGCACAGATTTCATGGCTGTTCAAATTATCAAACCAAAAAACTTGTGAAGGGTAGTAAAACGTTTGCAAAATGTTGCATAATGTCAGATTGTGGTGCATCATCATCAAACAAAAGTTTCACCTAGTCTTCTACCCTAAAGCGCACAGTCATTTAAGTGCTAACCTCCAGTAGACATTCTGACAAGAAAGAATTTATCACAAAATGAAAAATTAAAAGGGGTATCACTGCAACTCTGGAGTACAGTAAGAAAAATATAGAACCATAGGGAAAAAGTTCAGTCTACTGGGGATCCAGACCCAGTCCACATTTTTAAATAAATTTGTAAAGGCAAACACTAGCTGGCTATAGCCTGTTTTCTGCAATCCCTTCTAGGTTTTGTGCAAAAGTCCAAACTTCAATTATTTAATTTCCAGTCAAAATGGACATTAAGTACAAGGTATTACGTTTTCACAAGATATTTCTGAGGAGATATTCTAGATATAAGACAATCCACCTGCGTAAAGAAGGGGAAAGTCAAATGAAAACTCACTCTCACTCATTTTCTAAGCCACTTCTGGGTCGCGGGGGGAGCCAGAGCCTATCCCAGCAGTCATTGGGCAGAAGGCAGGAAACACCCTGGACAGGTCGCCAGTCCATCGCAGGGCGAACAGACAGACATATGCATTCACACACACACACACACACTCACACCTAGGGGCAATTTAGCGTATCCAAATGGCATGTCTTTGGACTGTGGGAGGAAACCGGTCTACCCGAAGGAAACCCACGCAGACACGTGCAAACTCCAAATGAAAACTAAATGAAAAAAAGTTTCCAATTCTAGAATTTAAAAAAAAACAAAATGTCTCATAACTGCAGACCATCAAAACAGTCAGATAAACAGTACTTAAAGCTTTCGTCTGTGATTAAATTTTTGGCAGGTGTTTGCCCATCCTTCCACTGTAAGAAGACCATAGGTCTTCATGGACATGTGGCTGTCAAGAAGCCGTTACTAAGAAAAGGAAATCATGAGCTGCAGAAAAAAAATGACAGATTTTCCAAGCAGCATGTTTACAACTTGTCCTCTGTTAATGACAATTAGCATGCAAATAGAGAAAGAACAAAGGGGGGTTATGGGAGTGCAGGATGCCGGGGCTGGTACTGAGGCGTCCTGCCGAGGATTCTGTGTGTGGGGGAGGGGTGGGGGGAAGCACCCCAAAACAAGGCCTGCGGAAGCAGACGTGAAAGGAAGCAGTGGAGCCGTTCTTTTTGGCCAGAAACGGGCCGCACTGTACGCTGTTGATCTAAAATGCTGTAGACAATGCAGAGGGACTGCCATCAGACAGTTTGCGGGGGAGGGACAGAGAGACAGAGACAGAAAGAGAGAGAGACAGAGAGAGGAGAGAGGGGATATGACTGAATTCAAATTCATACTCAAAATAACCTTTGTACATTCCAAGACATCGCTTGTGGAAGAGGTGCACTGCGTAAAAATGAAAGGAAGAAACAATGAACAATGAGTGTGAGACCAAGAGAAGAGAAAAAGAGCAAGAAGAGAGAGAAGAAAACAAGACAGAAAATGAAATGCCGATTAGCATTTAGTTGTGGCAGCCCACTCTTTTGGAAACAGAGTCAGTTTAATTGCTGCCTTTCATATATATCACCTATCTTGAAAGCACTGCCTGGCCACAGGCTGAAAAAAAAAATCTTTTTCACGTGCAGAATGTGCTGGTCTGGATATCGCTGTCCGAGACTTCATCAACGGCATGCAGACATAAAGGTCTACAGACAAAGGAGTATCTGGAATAACTTGCCGTTCAGGACTAATGGCCATTTCAACCAGAGGCAGGAGTAAAGGAGGTCTCTGGTCCTGATTACAGAATTTGTAATTGGGTAACTTTGTACTGGTCTGCCCACATTCCCAAATCTCAGGTTTCTAGAGAAATCAGAATAGTCTACAGTGCTCTAGAAGTTTACAAAAATAACACATCACTGAGGAATTGGCAAATTACTGTAGATGATTCTGTGAATGCAAAGGTCTCAAGGCAAGCCTGTGTCCCAGTTTGCTTTGTGCACAGTCACTAATTCTCTCCTAAGACTGTAGAAAAGGCTTGACTCAACTGAGTATTTCACTGTTTGCTTTTCTCTTCTTGTGAAGCTTGGCCAAGCAGGGATCATAGCCAACTAAGGGTGGAACACTTATTGCTTGGTAGAGCTCAGGGACTTGCGGTTTGTCACCAGATGGCTCTTTGAAACTTCCTGGGGATCCCTTTCGAGTCTGCATTGATATAGACTGAGCGAGTGGTGGGATTCTTCTTGACTGTTGATTGTGAGGGGACTTAGGAGCAGAAATGGAGTTGAAAAGGTACAATTGATTTTTTTGTAACAGTGTACATGGTAAATGAGAGCAGTTTGTGTAGTGTTAAAACTTTAATTGAACTGCTGCCCTATTGTAGTAGTACCAATTCTTGACTGGGGCTTTAAACCAAATTGTAGGAACCCTGTCTTTTCTTTGCAACCTTTTGTCTATTTGGTGAATGCAACATCTGTACTGTTAAGCATCAATAGAGCCCAAACAGAGGGTACAGACAGCCAAAAAGCAAGCCACTGAGGTCTAAATACAGAGCACATAAACTTGGCTAATGAAAAAGTCAATGGATGCATCATTAAAATCATCAGAAAAATCATCAGAGCTGATCTGACACAACAGCTTCATTTTGTTTTGGTTTTTTTTACAGTATAGATCAACTTTCACTTTCCTATTACTTGTTTACTTATTTTCACATATAAAAAATCCCAACAGGTCCAAGTAATGTTCCAATCATGTCATGTGGGGGACAATAAAGCCTGCTTCCCATGACAGCCTTTCTGGTGTATGTTCAGTTTTGTGAAATCAAGACATCAGCAAACACAGTAAACCATTCTGCTCCATTTATTTCTGTGACTGCAGCAATCTTTCTTTAAAAAAAGAAAAGCTTTTGAGTTGTGCCTCCCATGCTGAGGCAATATTGTGCTTAAATCTCATGCTCCGATTATCATGGCTGTTTTTTTTTCTGTATGCCACGATTAGAGTGGAGCCTTAAAGAGAATGGTACCCTGTGTCTTCACAAATCAAGTCTTTAAACTGATGAAACATTTACAGTGGAAGATGTCTAAATATATATGCTAGCATCAACTTAATGAGCAAGTTTTAAACTATAAGAAGCTTCTATGGTACAACAACCCTTATATTCAACTGTATACACATCCCATATACACATGCATGCAAAAGCACAATTGGATAATGACACAGAGAAGCTAAAACCTTTATAGTACATTTTATAGCTAAATCAGCGAGAATTACTGTGAAGATTGACGAAACCAAGCATACAGTGTTTGTTGTGCATGGTCTAAATTCTTAGCTGGAACTAATGACAATAATGAACATCCGCTGAGGAACCGTTGAAGAGGACTAACCTTGATGGTTAGGAGAGTTCCGATTGGCTGCCTGTTGAAAACTTGACCCAATTAGTTCTGCTGGTCTGTGATTGGCAGTTCGGTCGACATTGTCCTGCTGAGACAAAAGCCAAAAGTGTACAGCAATATTTTTATCACAAACATTCTATTTAAAGATTTATACAAAGGTAAAGTCAAAAAGACACAAATACACACTTTTAATGACCTCTTGTTTAAATACCCAATCATTCCTTAGATTCTCAAATGTTTACACAGTACTGTGCAAAGTCAGAGGCAGGAGATTGTTTCTCAAGGATATTTTTCCACACCTCCAAAGTTCAGTTTTAGAAATTGACTGACTTTTTGCTTCTCACAGTCCAAATAATCATGGATTGGACTCACTGAATGTGTGGTCAGTCCATTATTCTGAGAACACCAGTAGCTTTACAGCTCCTTTCAGACTTATAAGTGTTGAGTTGCCTTCTTACAGTGTAAGAAAAGACAGAAACAGTTGTGGGTATCTTTTAATGATATTTTTGAAAACCTTTCACTTTTGATCCTTTGACTTTCCTCTTCCTTACGCAAGTGGATTATCTAATCTTCCCAGAAATATCTCTTGAAAAATTATAACTTAATGTCAATTTTGACTGAAAATATAATAAATGGGGGCAGTCTTTGACTTTTGCACAATATGGTATATCCCTGTAGGGGTAGTTCCTAAACTGTTTACTTGACATCTGCAAGACACTTGGAAAAGACACCCTCTTCATGAATCTTAATTATTACTGCCTAGAAGCAACTATTTGTACTGTGTACAAGAACACATGACTGCGTGTACAGCTCATGTATGTCATTAAGATTTCTCTCTCCATTTTCTCTCTCCTCAAAATGTAAGGCTCCTTTAGCCTACCCCTCCATTGCCGGATGTGTGGTGATGCAATGAGATGCTGGCGGAGGAGAGCTGGCCCTCCGTTTTGCCCTAGGTTTGCTTAACTGTATCTGGAGAGGGTCATGGCCATGTTCTCAGCCTGATCAGGAGACAAAAAGTGGCAGCGCTCGACCCCGTCCACACAGAGTACTCGGCTGAGACTGGTCCATTGTGCTTTCCTTGTGACTGATGGCGCGTTCAGCCAGGACACGCTCGTTCTCTTTTTCAGCCACTTGTAAACAAGTGAGAACAGAACGCTCAATTCAATTACCACGTCCTATCTATGCCACTCCTCTCGCACCAGAGGAGGACGTTCCAGCTTCTTGGACGCAGAACAAAAGCACGGCAAGCCGCAGAGTGGGATATCTCAGGCAGCGGTGCTGATTGGGGCCTTCACAGCAGGAGCTGGGAACAGAATGTCCTGTGGCTCTTGTGTTTGGAGATGGTGTTCCTGGGCCGACCGCAGAAGCTTCGAGACACTCTCTAATGTGGCTGTGAGAGCAACTCCAGAAAAGTTATAGAATCAGAGCAGGGCCTTGTTTTCTTTCCTGATGCCAGTGTGCAAAGTTTACGAGTGTCACGCACACAAACTTTTAAATGGTGTTGAATAGTAATACAATGTGATTTGAAAAGAACAACAACAAAGCTGCTAATGGTTTGAAAAAGAGTAACTGGTCCATTTCACTGAAAGATCAGACATTGTTTTTTATAAGGTCACTTAATTCGTGTAATCATTTAGGTAATGATATTATAATGTATAAATTTCATAAATGCTACAGCTACACTCACACTGTTCAAGCTGTAAAAACTGTAAAACGTTTGGTTAGAATAAATCTTTCTTCAATGATATGTAAACCTCTTCTTCTTAAAGGTTTTCTACTCTTGTGAGACCTACATCCAACACCATGTATCTTCCCAGATCTACACTAAGGTTGGCAGCACTATGGTTAATAGTAACAGCAAAACTTGAGAATGTGACTTTACATTTAACTAATGCAGTCACACTAGGTGAACATCAGTTATGCAGACAAAACGTAATTTACCATAATTACATAGCGTGAACACGAACATACTGGCTTGTATAAAACAGAATTCTTCGAATTCTCGAAGAGAATATCAAAGATATTTATATATTTTTAATATTTTCATGATAAAAACACGCTAAATGACCAAAGTGATCTGGACACCTGACCAGCACACCCATACGAGCCTGTCGGACATTGAGTTCTAAAACTATAGGCATTAATATGGAGTTGGGCCTACTTTGTAGTTTTAACACCCTCCACTCTTCTAGGTATGCTTTCCGCAAGATTTTGAAATGTGTGGGAATTTGACTGTTTAGTCAAAAGAGCATTTGTGAGGTCAGGCACTGGTGTTGGACGAGAAGCCCTGGCTTGCAACTGACAATCCAATTTATTCCAAAAGTGTTCAGTGGGGTTGAGGTCAGGGCTCTATGCAGACCACTGAAGCTCCTCCACACATAACTTGTCAAACCATGTCTTTACAGACCTCACTTTGTGCACAGGGGCAGAGTCATGCTGTCATGCCTTCCAAAACTGTTGTAAAAAAAAGTTGGAAGCATATAATTGTCTAAATGCCTTTGTTTGCAGTAGCATTGACATGACCCTTCACTGGAACTAAGGGGGTGAAACTAAAACCTGAAAAACAGCCCCAGACCTTTATTCCTCTTCCACCAAACTTTCCTGTTGGCACTATGCATTCATGTAGGTAGAGTTCTCCTGGCAGCCTCCAGACCCAGATTTATCCATTAGACTGCAAGATAGTGAAGCCTGATTCATCACTCCAGTAAACATGTTTCCACTGCTCCAGAGTGCTTTACACCACTCCAGCCAACGCTTGGCATTATGTATAGTGATCCTAGGCTTGTGTGCAGCTGTTTGGCCATGGAAACCCATTTCATGAAGCTCCCAATGCACAGCGCTTGTGCTGATGTTGCTTCCAGAGGTAGTCTGCAATTCTGTAGTGAATGATATAAGATGATAGACGATTTGTACGTGCTATGTGTTTCAGCACACAGCAGTCTTGCTCTGTGAGTTTGTGTGGTCTACCACTTTGAGGCTGGGCGGTTTTTGCTCACAGACGTATTCTTTTCACAATAATAACACGTACAGATAACCAGGCAGGACAGGGCAGAAATTTCACAGACTGACCTGTGATATCTTATGACAGTGGTCACCAAGCTCTTCAGCATAACTCATTCTACTGCCAGTGTCTGTCTATGGAGACTGCATGGCTTTGTGCTTTATTTTATACACCTATTTTATACATCACGTCAATCCATATCCCTCTCTTCTTACCCTCATCTTGTTCTCACCCAGCTGTCTTTCTGCAAGACGCATCTCTTGATAAGACCAGAATGATGTGAAGTCTTGCCTCACTTTCATATGAACAAATGGAGTTCCAATATGTTGCCTTTGCTTCTATCCAGACACAAAACTAATCCCATTGCCCCAGAGTCCAAGTGTCTGGATCAAGACAGCCACAGATTGTCCTCACAGGTCCTGAAAGACTGACCTCTAAAGAATGCGAGTGAGTGAGCATGCATGGTGGGAGGCACCGGCACACAGAGCGAAGGACCCAGCTAGCCAAGTGTGACTGATCCATTCAGAGTTCCACCCAAACTCACGGCAGGAGGAGTCTTCGTCATTCTGTCTGAATGTGTTCAGCTCAAACTCTAGAAGTTCTTCCAGCATACAATCCTGTGCTAATACTGGGGAAGGATGTTCAATATATAGCCCGCTGATATATTAATCTATCTGTCTAGTGCAAATTAAATAAAAAAACTATTACCAGTCTGATACTGAATCGATAACTTGCATTATTTATACTTATGCACACACAATATACATATAGTTACTTGCAGTGGGCATTTCTGTTCATCTCCAACTCACTGAAATGGAGCTTAGTGGAAAATGCCACAGCTTTACACACTGAAGATCATAAGTTTGATTGCCTTCCATATAACTGCTTTGTAAAATTAATCAATGATCCAAGTTTGCAAACTGTTGTCCTCACACTACAACTAATATACTGTTTATAGTTATAGGTCGAGTCACTCTGTTCAGCCATAGATGCCTTTGGGAAAGTATGTAGTATTCTATTTTTTGTAATTGTATAATTTAAATCTAGACCACTTTGACACTTAAGCTGTACAGAAAATGCTGCAAATTTTTCTGGGAGGGTATGTCACACTCTGGGAAACCCGCAGCAGAGGAAGTGGGGAATTTACTCTACCACCTAACAGCTTTTTTAGACTCTATAATAAGTCTATGTTTTAACAGTAAAAAAAAGAATAAAAAATGGGTACATATTCTTTGACATTATTCACTAAGTTTTTTGTTTTTGTTAGTTTTGGGATTTTTTCTTTCCAACTTTCTCCCCTATTTAGGATCACAGTAGTGATGGGGTAGAGGGGGGTTGCTTTCCTACTCTCCCAGAGAGGGCAAGGCCAATTATGCTCTCTTGGACTCCCAGCCTCCGATAAGTTGTTTAAATGTAAATTAGCATTTTGTTCTCTGTCAATTCTCTTTCTAAAAGGCGATAATCGCCATGTTTAAGTATAGTCATTGGGTTAATTCTCAATCATCAACAACATCCAGTAACACTGCTTTATCACCCAGTCCTATTACAGTGTGATCACTATTGTGTGATAGGGTCATAGTATAGATTATAGTATGTTCACTAGCAGGTCAGCCTCCTTTATACTGGGAGCCAATATCCACAGGCCTGCATTGGCAGCTCTCAGCTCCCAACACACAAGCCAGTCCTGGATTTATTAAAGTGCCTGCATGCAGAACTTTGAGGCTGCTTTGGACTGAGTCACTGTCAATAACAGCTAGATCTTGATCTAATAAATTTCCAATTACACTGTTCTCAGTGCAAGGCACTACAATATTCTGTACTTCATTGTCTTTGTAGGTGCACTTGGTGGCATAGCTTATAGCTGTACAAGTAATTTTTAATTAAGAGAAAATTTACAGATATAGAAGGTTAAACACTGACTTGGAAATATTTAATACACAATTTCCTTCAACAAGGGACTAGTAATTAAAAATAAAAACTCTGTAGTTAAGACATTTAGGCTCTAAGGTGTTATTGTGGGTAATTTTGCCCACATAATCGGTATAATTAGAGATGATGTATGCTTATTAAGCTTGATAAATCTGCTA